TTAAAAATTAATTTTATTAAAATTTCTTATTTAGGAGTATCGAAGAAATCTCTAAGTTAAATAATTGTCTTAAAATTCTCCAACATCTATACAGAATTCAAAGTAATTCTTTTTACTTGAGATTTAAAACAACACTCTTTAAAATGAAAATAACATTCTTTGTAAAAGATGATTATTGATGATTCTCAACATCTAGACAGAGTACCAATAATTATTTTCTTCGAAATGTTCTTTTTGTTTGTTTTCTTTTTTTTTTTATAAATTAATGTTTTTAAAGTAAAAAATTTGCATGAAAAAATAAATGATGGAACTATCAGATAGTGAATAAAAATTAAAGGCATAAATACGCAAAGCAAGTGCAAATAATAGTAAATAGCTATGTGCATGCCAACAAATGTTATGCATGATGGTGAAATGCAATTTAAAAAATGGATTCTTAAATATAATGAGATCACCTTGATTCTCCAACATCTAGGTAGAGCTTATGTGCGATTATTTATATTTAAGATCTCATTTTATTAGTATACTTTTATTATTAATTATGGATCTCATTGTTAAAACGAATTAAGAGCTCATGAGAAAAACTTAATGGAATAAGATTTCTTTAAATACCCCATCATCTAGGCGTCATTCGAAAATAAATTACTCCACTTGAGATTTTCACACGTATCTTTAAAGTTTTGAAATGGTTTTGAGTATAGGTTTAGGTTTTTCATCTTAGACTTTTAAAATTTTGGGTTTAGGTTTCGAAGGTTTTGGGGTTTGGATTTTAGGGATTTTGATTTAAGGGTTTTAAAATTTTAGGTTTTGGTTTTAATTTTTTTGAATTTTAAAACTCGAACATCTCTAAAAATTTCTAACATCTAGGCAGACTTTCGGAGTAAGTTCTATTTTTTTTATCATTTTTCAAAAATTAATTTTAAAAAATCTCTCTTTTTTTTAATGAAAGTTTGTTATTAAAACATCAATTTAAAAAATGGATTCTTAAATACAATGAGATCACTTTGATTCTCCAACATCTAGGTAGAGCTTATGTACGATTATTTTTATTTAAGATCACATTTTATTAGTATACTTTTATTATTAATTATTGATCACATTATTAAAGCGAATTAAAAGCTCATGAGAAAAACTTAATGGAATAAGATTTCTTTAAATACCTCATCATCTAGGCGCCATTCGAAAATAAATTACTCCACTTGAGATTTTCACACGTATCTTTAAAGTTTTGAAATGGTTTTGAGTATAGGTTTAGGTTTTTCATCTTAGACTTTTAAAATTTTGGGTTTAAGTTTCGAAGGTTTTGGGGTTTGGATTTTAGGGATTTTGATTTAAGGGTTTTAAAACTTTAGGTTTTGGTTTTAATTTTTTTGAATTTTAAAACTCGAACATCTCTAAAAATCTCTAACATCTAGGCGGATTTTCAGAGCAAGTTTTATTTTTTTATCATTTTTCAAAAATTAATTTAAAAAAATCTCTCTTTTTTTTAATGAAAGTTTATTATTAAAACATCAATTTAAAAAATGGATTCTTAAATATAATGAGATCACCTTGATTCTCCAACATCTAGGTAGAGCTTATATGCGATTATTTATATTTAAGATCCCATTTTATTAGTATACTTTTATTATTAATTATTGATCCCATTATTAAAGTGAATTAAAAGCTCATGAGAAAAACTTAATGGAATAAGATTTCTTTAAATACCCCATCATCTAGGCGCCATTCGAAAATAAATTACTCCACTTAAGATTTTCACACGTATCTTTAAAGTTTTGAAATGGTTTTGAGTATAGGTTTAGGTTTTTGATCTTAGACTTTTAAAATTTTGGGTTTAGGTTTCGAAGGTTTTGGGGTTTGGATTTTAGGGATTTTGATTTAAGGGTTTTAAAATTTTAGGATTTGGTTTTAATTTTTTTGAATTTTAAAACTCGAACATCTCTAAAAATCTCTAACATCTAGGCGAATTTTTGGAGCAAGTTCTATTTTTTTTTATCATTTTTCAAAAATTAATTTAAAAAAAATCTCTCTTTTTTTTAATGAAAATTTATTATTAAAACATCAATTTTAAAAATGGATTCTTAAATATAATGAGATCACCTTGATTCTCCAACATCTAGGTAGAGCTTATGTGCGATTATTTATATTTAAGATCCCATTTTATTAGTATACTTTTATTATTAATTATTGATCCCATTGTTAAAACGAATTAAGAGCTCATGAGAAAAACTTAATGGAATAAGATTTCTTTAAATACCCAATCATTTAGGCATTATTCG